GCTTAATATGAATTCCCTGAAACTCCCAATACTCTTACAAGATGATAATTACTCATGTAGACATTGATACAAAAAGGAATTTAAGGATGTCTTTTTGGCTCAGCAACAAAAGTGGGAAATACTCAGCGACCTCGATCTCATTCTCCATGTGACAAACAGGACATGTGTGTGGCCTGGAACCAGCCTTTGAAGAGATGCCAACTTAGAGAATTTTACCCATGTGACACCTTTTGTAGCATGGGGCTATTACTGAAGAGAAGGTTGAAAATTGTGACACCCAGGGGTGGTAGAGGATGACAATAAACACTTTTCAGGACACTGCAGGACAGTCACACATCTGAGCTCACAGTGTTTGTAATGACATCTACAATCCCCATGTCAGCCCAAAGCAGAACAAACCCAGTGTGAGGATGGGAGATGGGCACAGTGTCCCACACATAGATGAAGAGTGATTCCCATCTTATCCATATGGGGAGAGGGAGAGTCAGTGTTCTCTTTTTATTAATTTTTATTTAAATTTTAAAAACACTTATTTTACATACCAGTCCCCCAATCCCACTGCCCCCCCCATCATCTCCCTAACCCTCCCATCCTCTCCTCAGAGAGGGGCCTCCCATGAGACAGCATCAAAGTCTGTCACATCATTTGGGGCAGGACCTAGCCCCCCGCCACTGTATCTAGGCTGAGAGGGTATTCCTCCATAGGGAATGGGCGACAAAAATCTAATTCATGCACTGAGGATAAATACTGGTTTTACTGCCAGCCCTATACTAGCCCAAGCACCCCAAACTGACACTCACCTGCAGGGGACCCCAACTAAGAATCTAAGAAGCAGTAGAGACTCAGTTTTCTTTAACAGTGTAGCCCCTGGTACTGTGTCCAAGCATTTGAGGAGCACAAATTGAACTGCACTGGAGGACGACATGGGATTTTCAACAACCAGCAGATCACAGAAGGAAGGAAAAAGCAAATCAGATCAGTGAGGAGGGAACCAGTAAGAGAGCGGGAGGGAGAAAGAAGGGGTGGGAGGTGAGCCATCAAAACATAATACATAATGACATGACATTTTCAATCAATTGGAAAATTATTTCACTTCCTTTTTTTTATTTTTTTGAGACAGAATTTCTCTATGGCTTTGGAGCTTGTCCTGGAACTAGCTCTTGTAGACCAGGCTGGTCTGGAACTCACAGAGATCCACCTGCCTCTGCCTCCCGAGTGCTGGGATTAAAGGCGTGCGCCACCACCGCCCGGCTTCATTTTACATATCAATCATTTTACATATCAATCCTCCGAATTACCCTCCCATCCTCCCATGCCCCAGACCAACCCATTTGGGGGAAAGGCCTAGGCCCTTCTCTGTGTATCTGGGCTGCAACAGTATCCCTCCTTGGGGAATGGTCTCCCAATGTCCATTTGTGCTCTAGGGATAAATACTGGCTCCACTGTTAGAGGTCCCATAGACTGCCCAGGCCTCCTGACTGGCACCCACATTCAGAGAGCTTGGTTCAGTCCAATGCTGGTTCCCCAGCTTTAAGACTGAGGTCCATGTGCCCTCATTAGGTCAGGTCAGCTGGTTCTGTAGGTTTCTCCAGCACGGTCTTCACTGCTTTGCTCATCCCTCCTCCCTCTCTTCCAATGGATTCCAGGAGTATGGATCAGTGCTTAGAACCTCAGGTTCTGCTTCTGCTTCCATCAGCTACCAGAGGAAGGCTGTTCAGGGTGCCTGGCTGTGGTGGCCATACATTTAATCCAAACACTTGGGAAGCAGAGAGTTCCAGCACAACCTGCTCTGCATAACCAACTCCAGGAGAGCCAGGGCTCTACAGAGAACCTGTGTCGAGTCAGCAACAATAATATTTAAACCCACAAACATAAGAAAAAGATAGCAAATGAAATAAGTTTAAGGTAAGATAGAAATTGAACATTGCAGGAGAAAGTAGGTGTGTCTCAAGGGAGGAGTATGTGCTTAGAATCCTGGAGGCCCTGCCATCATTCCCTGGCTCCAAAAGTAAGGGGAAATAAACTATTGTTACTGAACTCTCTTTCTCTTCAAAGACAGGGTGAAACAGACATAGATGGAGGCATTTAGCAAGTTCCTGAAGGGCAAGACCATCACCCTCGAATCCAGCCCAGTGACTCCATGGGCAATGTCAAGACCAAGACCCAAGACAAGGAAGGCATCTCACCTGACCAGCAGTGGCTGGGATTTACTGACAGCAGACTGGAGATGGATAAATCCTGACCAACGGCAAAGGCCAGAAAGATTCCCACCCTGAATCTGGTGCTGCACCTGTTGGTAGCATCATAGAGTCATCCCTTTGCCAGTCTCTCCAGAAGGACAAGTATGACAAGGCTCTGCTGCCCACAAGTGCTGCCCACACCTGCACCTCTGTGTGGTCAACTTCCTTAAAATAAGGGTAGCCGCCGGGCGGTGGTGGCGCACGCCGTTAATCCCAGCACTCCGGAGGCAGAGGCAGGCAGATCTCTGTGAGTTCTAGGCCAGCCTAGAGTGAGTGCCACGATAGGCTTCAAAGCTACACAGAGAAACCCTGTCTTGAAAAAAGAAAAGAAAAAAGAAAAAAAATGGTATTTATTATTACATATGTCTAATTTAAAGAAATACGTGTAAATGAATAAGTGTAATTTAAAGATGTAATGTAAAGTACACACAACAAAAGAAACAAACAATCAGAAAAACTAGCACACAAGTGGTTTGGTTTGGTTTGGTTTTTTAAAGATGTATTTATTATTATGTATAGTGTTTTGCCTGGATGTATGCCTGCTCTCCAGAAGAGGGCACCAGATCTCAGTATAGACAGTTGTGAGCCACCATGTGGGTGCTGGGAATTGAACTCAGGACCTCTGGAAGAACAGCCAGTTCTCTTAACCTCTGAGCCATCTCTGCAGTCCCTAGTGCACACTTGTAAGCCAGCAATGAGACTCTCAGGAAGCACACTACACGTTTTATTCCATGCAGACGTACACAGCCAGACCCTTCACTGAACCTTCAAACATGTTGAATATGAAGAATATTTCACATAAAAAAATGTGAAAAGGAATAAGGCAAGCCCACCTGAGAGTTTGTGTTTCTTATGTGTAATATTCATTCATGTCTGGTACCACCTGGTCCTGACAAAGATGAGGACAGATGAGACAGACACTGATGGGATTTTGGAAATGGCATCCATTAAATATTGATGGAGTCTACTGCATGACCCAGCCACAGCCTTGGGGAAGTCAGAGCCTGGTGTGTGAGGAGGGCAGTTCCCCTTCCTGTGGGGCTGCTGAAGCACA